CAAATTAGCTGTTGTCATAAATTTAAAAAAATAACAGTGCTGCACCCTGTTGGTAAACCTATTAGATTTTTAATGCTATTTAACATCACAGAATCAAATTGTTTAGTTCAACCAGCTGTGAAGATTCTTTAATTCCATTTAAATATGAGTACAAATAGGGTTAACATGGGAAACTCCAGAGCCCCTGGGGCGGAGCCCTTTTGACGGATCTGCACCAAACTTCACACAAACCATCCTTGAATAATGCTTAATAATGCCTGAAAGTTTCATTACAATCTGTCGAGTGGTTTTGGAGTCCATAAAGGACAAACAAACAAACAAACATACATATATTGGATTTTATATATATAGACTATATCAAAATTCCTGAATTTAAAATGTATTGTGTGATGCGCTGAATTGAACAGGAGATTAAGTTAAACAGTATTGCTTACCTGGAGTATTATTTTATGGTATGTAATTGAGAAAGAAAGGGGTTATTTTGTAAAAAATTTCATCCAAATGTTCTTGATGAAATAAATTTTAAAATAAATTGGAAAGATGATTTTTTAATAATGGTTGTATTTATAATAATTGCCAAAAGCAGGTCAAATCTTTGACTAGACATTCCATCCCCATGTTAAAGTTGTTACCAGTTTTTTAATCAAATTTGTCTTAGTTGATGTGAGCCACCTACAGATTGCGCTGATATAAATTATGAATTTCTGCCGATTACAAGATTGTTTTTACCAAGCCAAACTGATGGAATGACTTATTATGAGCTAACTGTTATGTCTCAGCAACTATGCCAGTAAGAAAAAATAAGGTACAAAATAGAGTTTTAGTCACTAGAGCAATCTGTGACTGGCTCACACAACTACATTCGGTTTTAGTAAAAAATTGGCAACAGCTGATCCATATAGATGGGATGTCTTCTTCTGTTCCCAATATTCAATGGTCAAATATTGATCCATTGTCAAAACAATTCTTTTTTTCACTGGAGTTTCCTATAAACTAGATAGATCAACTACAAATACTCATAAATACTGAATCTTAAATTAGTTAGTTTGATCTGAATCAAATAAGTAGTTTATTGTCAGTTTAAAAAAAATATCCATGGTAAAATTGATTACAAATTATTAAATCTTTGGCTGGTGATTTTGCTAATAATATTTCTTTACTAAGCAGGTTTTTTCTACTAAGTATGTTTTTTACCAAGCTTATTACCATGGGTAGTTGAGGGGTTACAGTTCTCATTAAACAAAAGGTTGCTGGTTTGAAACTGAAAAGTCAGTGTACGTTTTTGATGGTAAAAAACAGGACTCAGCTGACTGATCATTTGGCATTTAAGAAATGGTCTTAGATATGAAAGAATTGAATTGAATCAAATTAACTGCATCATCCACACTTAACATTTCATTTAATGGGCAAATTTTATATAAAAAAAAGTCAGGTGCATTAGATCTGTGGACTGTGGTGATCTATAGACTGAGATGGTGGCGTCATCCTGTAATCCAGCTACTAGGAGGTCACGAATTGTGGATATTTATAGGCATACACTGTGGATGCGATACTCCCTGGAGTGGATAAACGTCCACACTAATTACAAGGCAAAAATGTGGTTCGGATTCCACTGTAAACTGTAGGTCCCTTAGTTGCCATTATATTATTATTACATTATTATTATTAGCTGTATGGGCTATTAATTAACAGCTGTGTCTAAGGAACATTTTGGCCTTAGTCACTAACAACAGTACAAGATCGCGCCAAAAAATAAATAAAATATGTAGGTAGTTGAGTCGCCATCTTAAATAATTGATCATTTATAATAGTAAAACTACTTAGGTTGGTTATCTGCCAGCCACCATCTTGTATAATGGAAACTAACACTATCTTAATTAAGTCAATATAAATGAGAAAATGTAAACATATATATATGGTAAAATTATAAATTAAATGTTTTGCTGGTGAATTTTAGTGGTTAGGAAAATGATTTTGCGATAAAATAATGAGTGGTACTTTTTATAGTGAATTTACTCAATGTTGAAACATATTACTACTGTGAATTAACTCACTTTTTTGTAATGAAACCACTCACTGTGTTTTGTTTTACAATACAAAACGGACATGTCATTTCTACCTAGTGGACCATTCCCCACCAGTTTAATAATTTAACAAACATTTTCTCAGATTTTCCTTTGACATTGTTGCGAGTGTGGTTTGTCTTTGGGTTGACAATAATTTTACAGTCTGTTAAATGTAATTCTGGAAAACAGTTTAAGCCCAGCATTTCAATATTTAAAATTTTGTTGTGTAGCATTTCACTTGACCACTTGATCTGCAAATTAAATTATTTAATAACATTTTAAAAATTAAGTAAACGCTTAGGACAAAAACAGTACATTTTAGCGAATTTACCATATAGAAAATGAACTATTAATGTAGGTCTCATATGGTAAGGATTTTTATATGAGCCGAAACAACGTAAAACTTAGCTAGTTTGCTAAAAACATAATATTTCCCTTAGCTGAGTGAGTTCATTGCGTAAAACTACACAGATCATATTTAGGACAAAATCTTGACTCTTTGACTTTAAATGCTTTCAATTTCTCAATGTTCTTGCTTACCTAGCAATGTGTTTTTGTTTTTACTTGTTCAATAAGGTAATGAATGTAAAATACTTATTTTAATCATTTTGTAAAATTAAAAATATGCCTACTAGCTGTAGAAACGATCTAAACAGATTTATATTTTTTCATGGTCTACTAATAGTCTATAAGATGCTATTTTGGTCTAAACTTTTTTGTCAATAATAATATAAAAATGTTACAAAGTTATTAAAATGAAAAAGGTTACTAATAGTAAAATATACTATGCTACATGATGTAGCCGATATATTGATGGAGAGGGACACAAGGGTTGGTCAAACACACGTCTTCTCACTAACCTTTTCTTTAAGATAAACCTGAAGGGTGAGTTGGAATGTTGACCATCCATTTTGCTTTCAAGGACCTTTGGCTATTGATCGAACTACATATTACATCTCCATGTTAAAGTTTTTGCAAACGATTTAGATATTTAGATTTTTGGTTTGAGTCACTGACTGCGTATTCTCATTTAAATAACTGATTTCTATCAAGTAACTAAGTTAAACTGATAGGACGACTTATTGCAAGTTACACCATTTTAATGTCACGTTATTATTTTATACTGAAGTGTACTCTGTTAGTGAGTCATTCAACGATGTTCTTTTTTAATGAAAAATTGGTTACACCTGGTCCATATTGGTGCAAAGTCTACTTCAGAATACAAAAAGTCAATGCTTGCGCTTAAAGTCAGAGAACTTTTTTATTCACCAAGAATGGTATATTTCATCATGGTTATAGTATTATAACCATTGACTATATATACCGACAGGTTTATAGTAGGTATATAGTCATAGAGGTTTTGACCGTATACCTACTATAATGAATGACTACAGGTAGTAATTTATTACCTGTAGGTTTATAGTAAATAATTAAAACTAATTTTTTAGCTCGGGTCAAAAAGAAACTTCTTATCCGTGTGATGAACTAAATATTTTGTCATATTGCAAAGTTTATCAAAACAAAAGTAAGAGAACAAAAATACTTTTCATGTAAAGGTTTATCAATCAATTATCAATTAGTTAAGATGGGGACGCCACTATGTGCGTATTTTAACCCAAATATGAGTGAAGGATGAGTGGCGCGATCTTGTAGTCTTGTTAGTGACTAAGGCCGACATATTCCTTAGACACAGCTGTTAATTAATAGCCCATACAGCTAATGGCAACTAAGGGACCTACAGTTTATAGTGGAATCCGAACCACATTTTTCCTTGTAATTTACGAATTGGTCTAATTATCAGGATAGTACTGCGGATAGTCGTAGTACTCACTAGTGCGGACGTTAATCCACACCAGGGAGCATCGCATCCACAGTGCATCCCTATAAATATCCACAATTCGTGACCTCCTAGTAGCTGGATTACAGGACGACGCCACCCGTCCCAACCTAAAAACGACTTCCAACTTGTTTTCAATTTTTCTAATGCATATAAGCAGCTGTTTAGTAAGTGATACAATAATTTCGTCTATTAGTAGTACATATTACCCTATCGATATGTCAATTCGAATTATTATTGAGAAGAATGCAACAATAAGCTACAACCTACAACCGATTCAATCAATTGATAGATAATTTGAATAGATGGTATTGCTTACAACCAAAGAGCTGATTTTTACTCTCGGCACTGAATCTCAAATCTACGATATTAAATACTGTATTCACTTAATTTTTTTATAATAGCCTACATTTATTTATTTTTTTAATCCATTATATTTTGTTGTTATGACTACACCACCACCACCCAAAAAATTACTTAAAATTCATTTCCATTCTAGCTCCTGAGCTGTTGTATTCAATATAATAAATAGGTTACATACCTTATAAATCCGACAAACAGCTCATTTTAATTGAAGGTCGTTTACATGTTTCGGCTTGTATCGGCCATTGTCAAAACATCGCAGTTGGATGGTGAAATCCTTGTCATTGTTTTCTACTAAAAGTACATACACAAACACATACACACGGACGGGACGAACACATTACGAAAAACGAATAATACTTTAAATATGTAAACGTGTATTTAATAGGCCTATTTAAAGTATTATTCGTTTTTCGTAATGTGTTCGTCCCGTCCGTGTGTATGTGTTTGTGTATGTACTTTTAGTAGAAAACAATGACAAGGATTTCACCATCCAACTGCGATGTTTTGACAATGGCCGATACAAGCCGAAACATGTAAACGACCTTCAATTAAAATGAGCTGTTTGTCGGATTTATAAGGTATGTAACCTATTTATTATATCAAAAAATTACGACTGGAATCACAAGTTAACAAAATAAAATGTATTGATGCATTTTCAGTCTCGTGATTTGTATTTTTACGAGGACACCCGGTGTGAGTTTACGAAGTGTAGGATACATGTAAATACTCACACAAGTAGACAGCCTTGCTAACGAGGGGGTTGTGTTGACGTGCGGTTTGCTATGTACTCTGAAGACCTTCCTTTGTGTGGTTACGTCTCGGAACCGTAAATATTTTATAAGCAGCTCTGCTGACTGCTTAACAAATTAAGTTGCCTCATTGCTTCACCATCCTCTTGCAGAACTGTAACAACAGTTAAACTACTTTTTTTGTCTTCAAATGTAATTTATGTATAAAACAACAGGCAAATTATACATTTTTAGATAAAAGCACAGCAATTATCATCTGAAATAATATCAAATACAGTAGTCTCCCTCTTATCCGGACTCCTCGGGACTGAGGCCAGTCCGGATAACGTGTTTTCCGGTTAAACCTGTTAGAGAAGTAATATTTCTCATCTTGTCTTCACATCATCCCCTGATCAAATATTAATTGTCTTGTTTATCTTTTTGTACGTTTTGGTTTGGTGTAATTGTTAAAAAGATGTATTAATAATTTGTTCAGTATAAAAACGTTTTCCATAATATTTCTGGGCTATTTATTACATTAACTATTAAAACCGACGTCCCCAAAAACTCGTTAAAACGGACCATTTACTGTGATATTCGACTTTTAATTTAGGAGAGCATTGTATTTAGAAACGTGATCACTGGTTTCAAATCTTTCCCACGAGAACAGTCGTTTCAAGACCGCCCACTTCCTTCATATATAGTCAGGTTTAACCAATGTGTTGATAAAAACTGTCTGGTTAAAGAGATGTCATTTCCGCCGATTGTAGTCCGGTTAAACCAATGTCCGGTTAGAAGGTGTCCAGATAAGAGGGAGTCTACTGTAAAGACATAACCAAATCAGCTGCTTTATAAATAGAACATCAGCAACCAGCTGCGATTTAACCAACACACAGTTCAACTCTTAGCAGAATATTGGATAAAACTATCAAAATGGGAAAGTAACTATCAACGTGGGTTCCGGGTCTAGGTCTTACCATGAGACCTACGTTAATAGCTACTTCCCTATAGGGAAATTCGCTTAAAGAACAATTGTAAGCCTATATCTTCTTTTATATTTTAATATTACAGTTTTGTCATTAATTCTATTTTATCACCCTAAACTTAATTCTAAAGATAAAATCACAAACAAAGATTGATGATAAGTAGACTAAAATTCCAATAGCAGTGAGTGTTTACAAACGAAAATATAACCTCTAAGAGAAGTTATGAGCAGTGCTTGTTAAGTCCTTTAGTAGGATGGAACATATAATGGACTCTGACAATTCCTTTCATTTTTAGGTTGGGTAGGGTAGCAATGGCGAAAATATCATACGTCACTCGTCCACAGTGTATTAACACCCTTATGCTATACTATAATCAATGCTGCAACTGCTACTTTTAGATGAAATTCAAATTATATAAACAACGTTAGTTTCTTATAGCAATGGTTTTATGTAAGTTACCCAAGTTACTAGATTTATGAACGCCAAATCATTACTAAACGCAAAAATAAATCTGGATGAAATTCAAAAAAAGGTCTCTCTGATGATGTCATTTTTTGGAACAATTCTCATTCATGTTTATAAATGTTGGAACGACTGAGAATATTCATGATAACCAAAGCAACCCTTTAAGCCACAGCAATTAACTTTCACATCAAGTCATCTTTTCACTAGACTGTTGGGGGTTGAAAGAAGCTCTTTATGAATAGGAAATAATTGGGTTAATAATTCCCCAGGGTTATGTTTAGAGTTTGAGTTTACTTCTGGTATTTTTTGTTTTGTTTTTTTACTAAACATTGATTTGTTTAAGGAAGTTGTGTATAAATTTGAAGAAAAATAAAAACAACAAATTTAATCAATTCATGATTATGTCTTACATTTTATCAATTCTTATGAGACGATTATAGTATCATGGTCTCTACTCTAGATATAATTAGGAGTGTTTGATATTTTGAACTGATAGTTTGACAATTTTATTTTTTTAATTAAATATATATTCAATTAAGTTAAAAACATATATTTTTGCTACACTACTGTGAAATCACCTGTTTTTGTTTTATGATTATCACTTGCGAAAATTCATCATTACATTTTACTACCTCCACACTTAACACCTAGTAATCAGTATTTATCCAGGATTATCATTGGATGTACTAATACTGATTGTGCTGTAGAATTATACTCTGTTTCAAATTGAGATATCAGAATTTCACGAATTTCATCTTCAATGGCTGAATTTCATATCTCAACAACTCCCTTTTCCTCATTCAAGTTACGCCAATTATGTTTGCTGACCTTATTACATGCAACGTAATTTGTACATATTTACTCCATATTTGTAATCGTTTTGTTTACGTTGTTTCATTCTACAACCTGTGAATTAATTTCAACATTTTTAGCAAACCAAGTTTAAATAGAAACTAGATTTAAACTCGTAAGGAAGAAATATGATAAGAGTTTAGTATTGATCATGATGTATCCATTAGTTGCTTCTTGGTATCTGCATTAATATTAGTACCATTTATTTTTTTTAATTTTTATGGATGCATTATAAAGCCATTCTCTACTCAAAGAACAATGACTTTAGCTAGCAATAAACCCCACAAAAACTACAACTCTGAATTTCAGTAAGGAAAAGGACATAGTCCCTCAATTAGAGGATGTAATAAAAGAAAACCACACAAAATATCTCGGTGTTATCCTTGATAACAAACTAACATGGAAAGAGTACATCAACCGCCTAAGCTAAAAAACAAGTGCCGGAATATATGTCGTCAGAAGAATAAACTACATAGGCGGACTCTCTGTGGCCAAAACAGCTTACTTCGCACTGATAGAGTCACATCTTAGATGTGGCTTGACAGTGTGGGGAGGAACTTCAACAAAAAATATATTATTATTATTTATTATTATTATTATTATTATTATTATTAAACCTAGGAATCCTCACAGTGGTGTCTCTCTACATACTTGAAACCATAAAGTATTAGAATGAAATAGACCCCCCCAAGACACCAAGACCTGCACCACTACAACACCCGCCATGGCTCCAAATTTGCCCTACCAGTTTACCGAACCACTCTGGGAGAAAAAACCTTCCTACACCGGCTGCAAACTGAGGAAACATCTACCATCTACCTCACTACCTGAGAGACCTGACTGGCAACAAGCTACATCATGAGTTAAAGAAGTGGCTAATCGCAAGACCCTTCTACTCAATAAAGGAATTTTATGAAAATTATGGAAATTAACACTTGCAATTCTCTATTGTATTGACACTATTGTAATTCTTAACAAATGAACAATAAAGAATATTGTATTGTATTGTATATATTGTTGAACCAGTGGAATGAAAATAATGTTGTGAAATTATAAGGGTTGATACAATGACTTAAACTAATTATTATTATATTATATTCAAGTAATTTATGCCACTGTATTGTATAATATACATTTAGTCAGTATAGTGGAAACTGGGATTTTCCCTCAAATAAAAACATGAGCCTTAGTTGAATTTTTTTCTAACACATCTTTATTCAAAACTATATTTTGTATGAACAATTCTTTTTAAACCATCCTGTATATCGATTTTATTATTACTGTTATCTTCTAATAATTATTGTCATTGTAATAATGATATTATTTTAACAACTAATACCACTCAATTTTTGTATTAACTATTGTTTCAAAATTTGAAATAATAATGTTTAAACATTAATATATTTAATATATTAATGTTTAAACATTAATATATTTAATATATTAATGTTTAAACATTAATATATTTAATATATTAATGTTTAAACATTATTATATCAATGTATGTTCAAATAAAACAATTATAAAAATGGTAGCTCTGTAAAGTTTACCCTAAACAAACAAACAAAATTGTCTGACATAAAAGTTACTTTTTATACTGTTTTGTATCTTTTAGAGTAGTATTTTAAGTTTGTTATTATAGCATTAAGGTTAAGGCCAGGCGCACACAGGCGATTTTGAGTTGCGCAACAGTTGCCCGACTAATCGGGGGACTGTTGCGCAACTCTCTCGGAGACTCTGAAGTCTAGCGACAGTTGAGCTGGAGTGCGCACACAGGCAACTTTTTAGTCGCGGATCTAGTCTTGAGACGTGTTGGAAATACATTCATTACAGCGTTCCGAATGGATTTCAGTGATACAGCCGTAGTATGTGCTTTGTTGCTGAAGTTCCGTGTGCGAAAGAAAAAGAGAAGATACTGGGTTCATCCCATATATAGTGAGCGACTTGTGAAAGGACAGTTTTAATGACTTTAAATATAGTCGGCCTCTTCTCAACTTCATCAATTAATTGTTCGACATCCTCATCACGCACACTCATACTTGTAATTTTCTAAAAACTTCACACAACAAGAGAGCAAACACTACTTTGACAGTTCTGGCCACGAGTAGTTGAACTCCTGGGGTGAGACTGAGCGACACAGCGACTATTTAGTTGCATGTGTGCGCATCTACACTTGTTTCAATGGACACCAAACCTGGAGCGACAGTCCCGCAACAATTGAGTCGCAGAGCAGTCGCTGGCAAATTGGGTCCGGGAACATCGGTTGCAACAGTTGCGCGACTGTCCCCAGACTGTTTCCTTCGTGTGCGCACTCCAATTTAAAACAATGTTGAACATTTTAGTCGGGCAACTGTTGCGCAACTCAAAATCGCCTGTGTGCGCCTGGCCTAAAATGTCAATTCTGACTGTACTCTAAACGTTATGGTACTCTCATGAGAGAGGAGTAAAAGTCATCCTTTATAATGAACTAATGTTATTCAGGTATATTAGCATTTTACATTTTACTATTATTAAGTTAAAGTTCCTCGTGGAAAAAAATTTACATTGTTAAAACCCTAAACATTTTTATTTTTCATTAAATAGCAACCAGCAGACCGTAGAGCAGGATAGATTTACAAATAAACTGCAGTATTTTATATTAAGTTTTTAAGTTTTATCACTGATATTTTATTGTTTTCACAAAAAAAATTTGACCCTGATAGTACTCAGAAAATTTTAATTCTTCCTAAAACAACATTAGCACCACACCAGTAGAGCAAGAAAGATAATAAATTGTGTAAAGCAATTAGTTTTAACATGTTATTATTACTTGTATTTTATCTGTAATATTTTTACTTTTTAAACCAACTTCTGTAAAAATGTTTTAGTCGTAGTTGTGATTCTCTTTTGAATATCATTCTGCATTCAATGTTTTGGAAAGAAATTACTTTTTAAAACTAATTTTTATCCTAATTTGTGTTTGTTTTTATTTTTAACGAACAAGTACTCTGCTATGGTACACTAATACTAATTATTTCCATTTGAGGGAAACTGCACAGCACAAGACTAAGGGTTCCACATTTTCAATACACTATGAGTTACAGCCTCATTGAAAGTATGACTTGGGTTCACTAGATTTACTAACTTGCTTGTGGTATTCCAGCAAGAGTTCCTGGAAGGATTGAGCCAGGCGACACCCACCCTGGACGACCATTCCATGTATTCCTGCTCCGGATCATTGCCTTCTGACCTGGAAGAGGTAAGTCAGCATGATTTCATTCTTATTGTAAGTCTCAAGATGAAACCTCTAACTAAAAGGTGGCCTTCCAAGGTCAAAATAGACTCTTGAATTTTGGTGTTTAGGCGTGTGATTTTCTCCAGTCCAACGACATCATGTTCTAAAGACCGAAGTTTGTTATGGTTCATTTGTTTGAATCACAAGTCTTCAATTAGTACTATGAGTTATGTGTTGAAACACTTTTTGGACCTTAATGTTACGCTGTGTTATATGGGCCCATATAACACAACGTAACGCTATGCCAAACTCCCCTCTCCATATAACACAGTGTAACACTATGCCATACCCCCTTCCCCCACATGTGCGTTTTGTAATGTTGAGCCAAACCCCCATGGCATAGCGTTACACTCTGTTGTATGAGGGAGGGTGGTTTGGCTCGACGTTACGAAATGCACTTGGGGGGAAGGGGGTATGGCATAGTGTTACGCTGTATTATATGGGCGAAGGGTGGTTTGGCTCAACGTTACGTAACACACTTGGTGCGGGAGGGGGTATGGCATAGCATTACGCTGCGTTATATGGGGGAGGGGGGTTTGGCTCAACGTTACGTAACGCACACATTCCTCTTTGAAAAAATAAAAAAATAAAATAAATATCTCAATCAGTTAGTTACCTATAAAAAAAGATACGTCCACGTCCGTCATATTACCTTAATAACAGTAAAACAAAGAAAAAATACGGAACATGTTGAGTAAATTTCTGCTTTGCTTTATAGCTTTGTATTTTGTTGCGAGAGTTGTAAATACTCTTTAATGATGAACTGTTTTTCATACTGCACCATTCTTCAAGCTAAATAATCCACTAAACGTAAATTTCATACATGCTATCGATCTGCAATTAAAATTGTAAAAAGGGCTTATATGATAGGAGTTAAGTAAAGAGAACTGAAGTTACAGCATGAATATGACAGAATTGAAATTGTTTGGTGGGTTTAAACATACCTGTTGTGTCGTGTTGAAGTGTGTGTCTTGTCTATTTCGGTAACACATTAAAATCTTCCTGTAACAAAAGTTTAACATTGACTAGTTGTTGACTTGTGCATTTTTTTTTTTTTTTTTAATTTCTGGAACAACATAATACAGGGTGTCCGCCTAAAGTGTTCCATTAGCTAACTTTTTTACTTTATATCTGACAATAAACTTCTTATGGGGGACCCCCTTTATTATTTATGTAGCATTTAGGTATATATTTCAATTTTCCAAATTTCCCACCATTTTTCCAATATGGCCACAACTTAGATTTTTCTAATGGAAGACCCTGTATTTTAAGATTTTTCTTAGAAATTAAATGTAGTTATAAACGTTTTTATTCTTGACATATTTCCTATGAAGCTACTCGTTTAGGAGTTACAGGGTGTTACAATAAAGAAAAAAAATACTTGCATTGTACACTGCATCATGTAGCTCTTGAACGAGTAAGTTTATGGCGAATTCGAAGAGTTAAGTATTAAAATTGCATCTACATTCTTAAAAGTCATACACCTATTTCCAAATAGGTCCTATTTTCAAATTTGCTGCTATTTCAGGAAATGGTGGCTATTTTCTTAAACAAAAGAATGAATATTTGTTATGTATTTCATGGTCTTTTAATAATGTACATACAATTTTAAGATTTATTTACTGGTTTACATTTTCACCTATACTTACTCGTTTAGGAGCTACTAGAGCTACATGATGCAGAAGCAAATCATTTTTAGAAGCAGTTTCAGGAAAAAAATTTCAAGAATAAAAACGTTTTAATTGAATTTACTTTCTTAAATAAATCATAAAATATATGGTCTTCCATATGAAAAATTTAAGTTTCGGCCATATTGGAAACATGGTGGGAAAGTTTGAAAATTGAATTAAAAGAATTCTTGGGTCCCCCATAAGAAGTTTACTGTCAGGCATAGAATAAAAAAGTTAGGTATTGGAACTTAGGCTGGACACCCTGTATTAATTAACATAATGTCAGAGAATTTTCTTGTTGATATGAAAGTAGCCTTTCACTGTTGTTCATCAGTGGAGTAGAGAACCTTGTTATTGTGATAAACCATTTAAGATGTTTTAGCAAGATGACCAAAGCCCTGCAGGGCGGGTCAGTGCATGATTAATGTAGTTTTCTAAACAGCTCAAGGGACTATGACATTACATGCCTAACTTGGAGAATCATTTAGATCAAAAAGGAATGGAAACACAAGTGTAGTAATGTCATTTCAGACATTTCATAAAACTACTTAGTGAAACTGTCAAATACAATATTACCACTGTGTATTTAACATAAAATTTTATGTCTTAAATCTTATTACTTCCAATTTTTCTGCTTGTTGTTATAGTTTATTAGCTTTGTGGATATCACTGTTCCATACAATTTTGATCCAAAAGTAAATAATGAAATGTATAACTAAATTTAAATGCTCAAAAAGGCCAATACATAAAACTGTTTTATTCACAAGCGCTTTTGGAAACTAGGTTTACATCGTCAAGCTGTGTTTAAACTGGTACAAAAAGTAAATAAAAAGTTATTAAAGTAAATAGTATATTCAAATATATAAAGTAGGAAGAAAACTTAAGTTCTAAACAGTTGTCTAAGGAAACTTGTTAAAGGAATATTGTGTATTTACTACTGTAATAAAATTTAAAATTAAGTGGTATGCTATTTTGTAATACACCGTTTAATTGCATTGTAACTTATATGGATATTCCTCAAATAATCTTAGTAAAAAAAATAATATATTCATAAGTGTTGTTCCTTACTAACTTTAACCATTCTTTAACTAACATACATCGTCCATTAATTTAATCTATAGTTCTAAAGAAGTAAGTTGGTACTTTCACAATATAATCATGAGTTCCATATTGTGAGGGATGAAATTGCATTGGTGATAAATTCTTTATCACATCCGGCAGAGTAAAACGCCCTAGATTCATTCTTACAGTAATGCAGGCGCTCTTGTAGTTCAATATACCTCTTGGCAATTTATATTCCTTATATGGCAATACATACCTGCTACCTATGCCTAAAAAAGGTCACTAATTTTTTATTACTATGCCAGACATATAAATTCCAGTGTAAGAAATGCATAGCATATTTCTTTCATAAACATTCCCGCGTTTCCCTTGATTCTAAAACAAACTTTAAGGCAGAACTCATACTTCTATTTAAATAGGAACTAGTCAAGAGATAGCAACAGCTGTTTTTGCCAAATTAGCTGATGAGTTTGTCATTAACACACAACAATTAATTATCTATTTAATTTATAAAATCACATTTACTTGAATTTATTTTAAATAGTTTTGCGAATAAAATTACTTCAACAAAATAACACCCCATTATTTCAATGTTCCATTTTTGTATGATTAGTCGGATTCAAGTGGTACACAGGAATGTTTTTGTTTGTTTTATTTTACCAACATTATGTTAGTTGTTGATGTGTACAATTTAAAGTTTGGGATTTGTTTCAATGCATCTGATATATTAGTAGGGGACTTCTTAGTATACTGGGTGGACCAATGCTTCTACTAGGTGTCGAGATTGCTTCGGCAAAAACCCTCAAATAAACAAACCCAACTATTAAGATGCAATCTTTTTTAAAATCATAATTCTTGGCCAAACATACTTCTTGAATAGCAATATATATGTAAGGCAAAAGATTATTTTACACCAATATATTATTTGGCAATTTCAAGTCTATTGGTATAAATTCTTTTCCCACAAGAAAGGTTTTGGCCTATCAAAAATAGTAGAACTGCAAATTTACTCTCCATACATGAATATGAATATGTAAATGGGAGGTTGGGGTTCCCCCCGTCAGCGTGCTGACGGTCCCCTTCCTTCTGGCTATTGATGGCGGGTTTGCCTGTCAGGGATTAGATAGGTCCCGAGTGTTACTTGCACTAAATGCGTCGGGGCGCTCTACCATGGTCCTCTAGGTCCCGACCTAGTGGAACCCAGGTGGAGTGACGCTTAAACAAGTAGCCGGAAACCCTGGTTAGGATTGAGGGGCAACCCTCTTTCCGAAGGGTCTGCTTCGGCAGCCGGTGAGCCTGATGACCTTAAGTCATCCGCCCATGATGTGCAAAAGGTTGATGCGTAAGCTTCGGCCTACATCATGGGGCCCGGGTAAGTCTCACGACAGGTACCGGGTATGTAGTCAGGGGGCTTCGGCTCTCATGACAAATAATGAAATGAAATGAAATGAATACATGAATATATGTTTGGTTGTTTTCTTATCCAACTAATATTTTTGTAAAAAAAGTCAAATTAAAATTCAAATATTTTAGTCCCAACATAATGAACAGCCTTTTTGGCCATGCAAAAAGAAAAAAAATTAAAACCCAGAAGTTTACCAGGCTGTGAACAATCTGTAAACCATTATTCATTAAATGGTAAAAAGTTGTATAAATATTTATCTTACCCTGATGTATGTATGTATTGTTCCAGCCCTTTGTAATTGGGCCTTTGATGTCATAGGTACCTAATACACTGACCATGTGTTTAACTAATGCTTTCCTTTGATTCAATTTTAGTTTGCCTACAGCAAATAGAATCTATCTATATACGTACTTAAACAATCAAAAATAAGGGGGGGGAAATAAGGGCTTTCCCTGTAACATCCCTTTTCCAGCCGTCCTAACAGAAATTGTTACGATTCAGGTGTAATTTAAAAGTTTAAGATCTAACGTGCCTGCGAATGGTAATTATAGCCTAAAGGTAATTCCCTTTAGGGCCTTGACTCTCTCAAGTTTATTTTATTTTTTTAGTCCATTTTCAAAGATCCAGTTGTGCTGACCAACATTCTTTATAACGGTTTAAATGTGAATTTTTATTTACAGCTGTTTATGAAAATGTATTTTGAAATTAGCTACTTTTATGACAAACTGTGACTTGATTGAGGTGGTTAAATCACTAGTGGTAGGATGAATCTAAAATAAAAAAATGTATTGTAAATTGCTAGTTCTATTCACTTAATAACCTTTCTTAAATATTGCACTGGATTAATTAATTTAGCTTAGGAACAAGTTTTGGACCCTATTAAACTGCCCAATTTTCCCACGTCCCCTTGCGATTGTTAATACAGTTACACTTTACAATAAGATAATTTGAAGTTGACTTATAGAGGCAGGACTGTTGCATTATTAAATACCCCCGTCGCAGCAAACCTGCATACTAAGCGAATTTCCATTTACCCGGCTTGATTTCTACTAAAATATTCCCTATAAATTTTCAGATTTATTTCCTATTTAAATAACATTAATTTTAGTGAGTAGTTAGGTTTGCTGCTACGGGGAAGATGTTGAGGTGTGTTTTTTCAATTGAAATATTGATAGCTTAGTATGAAATAAGCCAAATTGCCAAATTTGATTAAAATATATCCATAAACAAGCAAACTAGAACAGTTTATTTATTCTCCATAAGAATAACATAAGAATTTTAAATTTACAATTTTTTTAATTTTCTCCGTAGTCAATGAACATTTAAAAAAACTTCAATATACTAAATTATTTGTTTTTTTAAGCTCTTCAAAATAGTCTAGAGAGAAATTTAGAAATTTAAAGTTTTTAGGGACAAAAATGAGAAAAACCCATTTTTACCCCATAAAACCCCCCATAAACCCCTGATCCCATGGTCCGATTATGCTGGTTCGCGAACTCGTTCGAATAAATGTAGGTTTACACGTTTGTACCAAATTTCATCAAAATCGGATCAATTTTGCTCGAGTTATCGCGCTAACGGACACATATATAAATATATATATATATAAATATATATATATATATAAATATATATATATATATATATATATATATATATATATTCCCTATATGGGAAATTCGCTAAAAAGACTGCCGTTCCCAAAAAAGGACTTCATTGACAAAGCTGTTTTTATTGTAATAAAAAGTCAGAACTATTGCACATAGGGCGATGTTTGAACTCAAGATTTCTTCATTTTTTCAACGTATTTATACTTTTTTTCATGATCATATAAAAATGTTTTAAATTATTTTTGTATACTT